TGTAGCCAAGGATTGCTATAGCTGGAGTTTCTTTTCAGCCTGGTCCTGCAGCCAATTAGCTCCAAATAAACACACAAAGACATATTAATTTACCAACTGTTGGCCAATGGCTAGGGCTTCTCACTGGCTAGCTCTCTCTTCATTATTAACCCATAATACTAATCTATGTATTTCTACATGGCCTATCTTACCAGAGAATGCCTGGCACATCCTATCTTCCTGGTCTCTATATGGTGTCTCTTTCTGGCCTCTCTCTGTCTTCATTTCCCCAGCCTTCTCCTTGTCTGGTAGCCCTGCCTATGCTTCCTGCCTGATTGGCTACTGGCCAATCAGTGTTTTATTCATCAATCAATAAGGACATCCCCCATCAGATTACCTTGATTTTCTGATCCTCCTGCCTCTGTTTCCTGAGTGCAGCGATTACAGGAGTAAACCACTGAGTCTCATTTATGCAGAACCCAGCATTTCTTATGTTCTAGGCAAGCATTCTACCCATTCTACCAAGACAAGTCCCAGGACCTTTTCTGCTTTTAGTTTTTTTTTTCTTTTAAATAGTACATATATTTATGAATGTAGAGTACATATATTTATGAATGTAGAGAACAGCAATCTGTGTCCATGTCGCCTCTCCAGGTGATGAAGGAGCCTTTGCTCCTGCTCAGTGGCCTTTGATTACAGGGACAAGGTCGTATAGGAAGAGAAGGGCTGTGGGTTTCCAGCTGTGGCCACAAATGAAACTTCTGGCTGTGAAGGCGCTCCGCAGCTCACAGTGCACCACAGAGCTTCCGAGTGTGTTTGCCTGGGGGCTGGAGGTGTTGCATCCCAGTCAGGGTGACTAGAAAAGAAACCTTCACTGTGCGCCCCCCGAGACACGTGTGATGGGGCCCCTAGAGTGGAGTCTGCTCTGAATGTGGCCAGGTGCTGCAGTGTGGGGCATGTTGATGGAAGTTTCTGCCCAGCCCAGTCCTGCTGCCCTTCAGTCCCAAATAAACACACAGAGGCTTATATTAATTATAAACTGTTTGGCCGATGGCTCAGGTTTCTTATTGGCTAGCTCTCTCTTAATTACTAACCCATTTCTATTAATCTGTGTATCTCGATGTGGTCTTGGCTTACCAGAGAATGTCTGGCATCCTGTCTTCCCCGTAGCTACATGGCATCTCTCTAGCCTCACTCTCTGTGTTCTTCTTTCTACAATTCTCCTAGTCTGTTAGCGCCCCCTATACTTCCTGCCTGGCTACATCCTAGTACAGGAGTCCATTGGCGGAAGCAGCTTTATTTGTCAACCAATAAGAGAAACATATATTCACGGCATACAGAAGGACACCCCCATCTGGGGCAGGCTGAGGGGGACCTCTAACCCCATATATCGTATCTGCATTCCAGTCAGCAGGAAGGGGGAAGAGACAGAGGACACGTCTTCTTCCTCTTGTAGGAAGCTATGTGTGCAGCCATTGGTTACCTCTCAGAACTTGGTCACATGGCCATGAATAGCTGCAAATGTGGCTGGGACAAGGTAGGCTTCATCTGGGATGACCATGTGCCTCACAGTTTGAGAAAGAACAGCTGATGTTGGGAGGCTGCTAGTAGGCCTGTTCCTGAACCAGAATGGCTAAAACATAGCAAGCAACTGGTGGGGATGAGGCTGGGCTATAAGACAGGGCCAGGTCTGGGCAGGCTTTGTAAGCCTTGGGGTGGTTTGGAGCTTCACCTGGAGAGTGAGAATTCATAAATCCTTTTGGAAAGGACACAACCACATGTATGGTTTTGAAATCTTTGTTTTCTTTTCATCTTCTCTCTGGGTTTTGGTTTAGCCCCTGGTACATGCTGTACTCTTTTGCACACTGACCCAACTATTTCTCTATGGTGAATTCCAGGAGGAAAGTCACTGGGTCAGAGGAAATGGCTTTTGCTCTCTCACCCAGTCTGTGGTTTCTGGAGGTGGTCCTGCCTTACAGTTGGTTTTTTTTTTTTTTTTTTTTTTTAATAAGCATCCCCTCCCTCTCGACCTTTTTAAGAAATGAAACATTTCAACATAAAATATGTTGAAACTGTGTTTGCTGCACAGCCAGATTCCACAATTAGCATTCTGCAATAGTTGCATTATGTCCATCAAGACATCTTCATTTTGGACTCGTCTCAGAGTAAGTTACAAACCTCAGGATCCTTTACCGCCTACGCCTAGGATGGGTCTTATTTATTTCTGTTTGTTTTATTCCCACAGACTGTGTGGGCACAGCTCCGTCTTGCTCCTCAGACTGCTGTCTGCCAGAGGCAGGTCCTCTTCTGAGGCCTCAGGTGACCTTAGAATAGACACACAACTGTGCTGAACCCTCTTCCTTTTGTTTTAGAGGCAGGTGCTGTATAGCACCTAGCATTGCCCAGCAGATAAATAGGGCTGGTTTCGTTATTATGTTTACTATATCTGTTTGACGGTACATTGAGCTGTTGAAGGCATTATTTCATACAATCTCTAAGGGTTGTTGGCTTCATTTTCGTGTGAATGTGCATTTGAGCACATGGAGGTGAGAGGCCGATGCCAGGTGTCTTCCTTTGTCACTCTCTGCCTTATGTTTTGAGTCAGAGTCTCTCACTGAGCCTGGAGCTCACTGATTAGCTGGGTGGGTTGGCCAGTGAGTTCCGAGGATTGGCTTGGCTTGCCTCCCCCACACCTATGGTTACTTGCTACCATGTGCAGCTTTTATGTGGGTATTGGGGATCAGGATCCAGGTCTGACCCTCAGGGCAGGCACTGTACCAACAGAGCCTTCTCCCCCAGCCTTCTTATACTTTGTGGTCAATTTCAGACCAGATTGCTATTATCAACCTAGAGAATTTCTGTGGGTCCTGAAATAGACTTGGCCCAGTAGGTGGGGTCCCTGTTATGACATAGCATTGGGGTACAGCGGTGGCTAGTCCAGAATTTCAAATGGCATTTGAGACTGAGTCTGCAGCTCTAAAGAATGTGTTTGTTATTTAGAAGGCAGGAGGAATTCACCGGACTGCGCCCAGGACTTTGATCTGGGTCCCCTTAGAAAAGGTTGAAGCTTGGTGGTGCCCTGTGTTCACAGGAGCCTCATTAGAGTGGCCAGTGATGTATATGTGAGGGTGAAGAGTCCTAGGGACCCTTCCCTCTGCCTTCTGAAGAGTCTTTGGGATAAACACAGACTAAATAGGAGAGCAATTATAGGAATTTATTGCGAAAGGGAAAAAATTCACAGGAATGTGATAAGTCAAAAATCTAGAAAACATTTGCTCCAGTTTGGAGGGAGGGGGATTGTGGGTATGGGAGACAATGATTTGGGGAGAACATAGTGGGCTTGGGGAACAGGGGTAGCAGAGGACAGGAATGACAAAGGCTTGCACATGGTTTTCTCTGGAACATTGAATGGGACATGGAGTGTGAGAAATGTGTCTGTCCAGGTATGTTGACATGCCCTTCTCTCAGTCTGTGGAAGCCCTGGGGTAGGACCAGAGATGACTGTTTTCTTCTTTGGGGATGCAGACTTTAAACCCACAAAAAAGGTACCAGGGGGAAGCCTCCTCAGCTAACATACCAAGATGGTGCATTTGGGTGGTAACAGTTCCTAGGCCCCCTTAGTGTCTTACCTCCTTCTCCCAGATGTCTATCAATATGGGGTGAAGCTAACAAGTAGTGGAATTGTGGCTCATATCACTGTAGCAACCTCTTTCTCATTAGTTCCTTGAGGTTAATTCCTGCAGGCAAGGGGTGGAGGGAAGAGAGAGAGGGAGGGAGAAAGACAGAAAGAGAGGGGGGAGAGAATGTGAATGAATGTATAAATATATATCTCTAGGCTAGGATCTAGAGTGGGGATCCTGAGACCCTAGTGGTGAACATGAATAATTGTAGCCACCAGGGAGCTTAACGGGTGTATTGTTGACTGGCTGCTGCAAGGGCACACACCTGTAGTCACTGTGGTAGATGAAGCCGAGCAGATGGGCAAATGAATTATGGGGGATTGAAAGGGTGGGGGGCAGAGGAGTACCTCCTTCAGCTTGGGGGTGGGGTTAGAGTTGAAGAGTCTGGGTGACTAAGACAAGCTTATGTACAGACCCGGAGCTGAGAATCTTCATCCGGTATCTGGTGCTCTTCAAGCACGTTGGTGTTACTCGAGACAGTTAGGAGACTAGAACCAGCGAAGCCTGGTTGAGTGCCCTGTGAAGGGGCTCGGGCTTTGCTTAGCAGTTCTCAGAGGTCAGGGCATGCCTGCAGACAGGGAGGTGAACATCTGCCTGCATGTGGAGCAACTGTAGAGTTGGGCTCCCTAGGTTAAAAGGACCACCTTGTTGTAGAGAGATTGGAGAGGTTGAGAGGTACAGCCTTCTTAATTTGGGGGGCAGTTGGGAAATAGAGGTGGAGAAGGGTGGGTGGTTTACAGTCGAAATTTGCTTGGCTAGAGGAGCAGAAAACGAGGATGCAGGAACCAAATATGATCAGAGTCTTACTTTTCCTACTTGTAGCTCTGCTCATATTGTGCCTGTTGAGGGAGGGTTCTCCTGACCTTTGCCCCAAACTTTGCTTTGCAGGTCTGGTTCCAAATTCCTCTTCTTACATAGTTTGTTTTGTATTATTCATAAATTAGTTTTATTTCCCCTAGTAAAGGAAAACTCTTAAAAGGCATCAGACTATTTTGGGAAATGTGTGCAATTTTAGATATTTAATATTATTTATTCCAGCTATCTCAGGTTTTCTTCCAAGAGAGGAAATAAAACCACAAATGTCAAATGGAAGGTATCTTCACCAAAGGGATACACTGGTGACCTGTGAGCCTAAAGAGAATTTAGAAATCAAATACACATCAAAATTATGCAGAAAAAATGTAGAAGATTGGGAATTCAGATGATGAGTCTAGCTTTTTAACCTTTGAGATCTGAAAACAACTTAGTTGTAAAGGCCCTTCAGCCCATTTAGCAGTGAATCTACCACCCAAAGTGTCTCTACTCTTGCTGAGCAGCTCATGTCTGTGATCACGTCCACAGGTCCAGAGCCCAGCACCCAGTGTGAACTGTCACCGATCAATGCCTCTCATCCTGTCCAGGCCTTGATGGAGAGCTTCACCGTTCTGTCTGGCTGTGCCAGCAGAGGCACAGTTGGGCTGCCACAGGAGGTTCATGTCCTAAACCTCCGCACTGCAGACCAGGGAGCTGGCCAGCAGCAGAGGGAGGTGAGTGTGGGTGTTGAAAGTATATTCTTTGCTTCCATCTTGGGCTCTGGCGATCAGAACTCAAGCCTTGTGATGAAAGCACCCCTCCCTGCTGTCTTCATCCTGCACGTGGCCCTCCTTTCCTCTTGCCTTGCTGTACTTATGAACATATTGCTCTTGAAAGATGAGTCAGGAAAAACTCTAGAACAGAGGCCAGTACCCTGAGGGTTGAGGAAGCTTCTCCAAGATGGTGGTCTTGGCGGTCATGGAGAAGATAGTGGAACAAGTTCATGATTATTCGGTGTTTGCTCTGGGCTGAGCACTGTGGAAGATGGTGCTACACTGGCTTGGGGTCCCTTTGTTGTGTTCATTTTGCAGGTCAGGATAGAGGTGTGAGGACATGAGTTTCACAGGTGAATGACCTGTGACTCAGTGATAGCTTAGAATGTGGATGAGTAACTTTTTTTTAAAAAAGATTTTATTTATTTATCATATATACAACATTTTGCTTCCATGTATATCTGCACACCAGAAGAGGGCACCAGATCTCATAACGGATGGTTGTGAGCCACCATGTGGTTGCTGGGAATTGAACTCAGGACCTCTGGAAGAGCAACCAGTGCTCTTAACCTCTGAGCCATTTCTCCAGCACTGGATGAGTAACTTTTAAGAGGATGGATTTTTCCCACAAAAATAACACACTGTTATCATTCTTTCTGTTTTCTAGTGTTATCAGGCAAGGATTATCTCTCTAGGGAAAAAACATCCACACTAATTCCTAATGATGCTGGAGTTGAGGAAGATGACTGGGAAATGGAATTTTTCTTTCAGCTTTCTCTTGGTCAGAAAAGTGAGTTTCCACAGGTATTTGAGTGCTTCAGTCATCTCCTTGCCTTTTGGGGTCTGTGAGAGTAGCACAGGCACAGAGCCTCCACCAGGAAAAACAGAACTGACTCCTTACTTTTTGAGGTCTGTGGGAGTAGTGCAGGCGCAGAATTCCACCAGGAAAAACAGAACTGACTTACTCTGATGAAAGTGTGCAGTGTTGGCTCATTTCAAAGTCAGGGCATCTAACCCTTTCCAGCTCCGTTGGAAATTATTGTCAATCCTCTTGGTGGCTTGCCATTGTGGCTGCAACACATTTTTCAGGTCAGATTTCTTTATCCCAGTAATATGTCTTTAATTCTCAACCTACGTGGGAGAGTTTGTGGTGGGAGTGAAGCGGGTGGGAGGAGGAAATACAGCCCCTGTGAGGCATTGCTGACTCCAGCAATTCCTCAGCATAGCAATTACTCATTTTATATATGTTTCTCTCAGAGGGACTGAGAAGGAAAAAGAAAGTCCGGGCTGTTGCAGGAATGTCAACAACCGAAAATTCTTGGTGTTAAATTGTGCAGTACTGCTGTGGACTCTGAAATGGATTTGATGAGATTGCCACGGCAAATGAAAAAAGACTTCAGGGAGGGACTTTCCAGGACATGGCAGTGCAGAGGATGTGTGGCTAGCTAGGGGCCTGGCAAGGTCAGTGAGAGGGCTCTGCTCCTGCCATGTCTGTGTAGTCAGTGTATATATTTAAAGGTGTTTCTGCTACTAGGCCTCTGAGGGAAACTGTGTTATTGCCTTCCTCAGAGACCTTAAGGGTTAGGTGGCTGTAGTTCAAGCCTGCTTACAGACATGGTGTTAGGACTTTGGACACTCCATCTAGCTTTGTAGAGCTGTCATATAGTAGACCTTGGAGTCTTTTACATGTACACAGGAGTACTGAGGATAGCACCAGGCAGAGGAGGAAGGAGGTTGTTGATTGGCAAGGTAGGGTGGAGAAGTGCTAACCTCTCCTCCCTCCTTCATGTATGGCTGGAGACACATTCCTGCCTGTGTGAATGGTTTTGAAATAGGTTACCTAGTCCATGCCTTAGCAGTTCTACTCCAGGAGATACACACAACCAAAGCACCCCCCCCTCTTTTTTTTTTATCTTAATTGCTTCACCTTTCAACCTAAACTCCATTCTTTTTGTTGTTGTTGATATTCTCACTGCAGAGCTTGGTTTTTGTAGCTATGTCATGGTTTGGGCTATGTGAATTGTAATGGCAGCCCTGTTTAGATGGTCTGTGTAGGAAGGACCAGAGGTAGGTAAACTTCATAAGTCTACACCAAATATTTGTCAAGTATTTCTCAAACAAACAAACAAAAAAAGGAATGCTTCTGCTTACAAACTAGTTAAAGAATTGCCACCCTGCCCCCATACCCATCTGAGTGAATCTTGTCTATGGTAGTTCTCCCCTCTGAGCCAATCTGGCTGTCATCTCTGATGTCACTCTTGAACATGAGGGAATTATGAAGCTAACGCTATTTGCTCTCAGCTTATTAGGATTGCAGGACCAGCGCAGGGACTATGATACCCCCACCACCCCTTCTCTAACATTTGACCAAGCCCCTACTTCCTGGATGCGATTACTAAGCTTCATCTGAGGCCAGGTTTCCTGTTCTCCTCAGAAGAGGCAGTGACAAGAGTCTCTGCACCTGGAAGTGGTCAACAGCAGGCTGACAGGGTTTGAGGTATAACAGCTCTTGTTTTATGCCCACTACAGCCTGTAGGGATGTCCTGTCCCCATGGCATTGCTCTCTTACTGGCTCTCTGCTGCCACGAGACTGGGGAAGCTAGATCTACAATTAGGTTTTTTTATTTTATTTTATTTTATTTTATTTTATTTTATTTTATTTTTCATCTGGGACCATGCCTCTCCTATGTAATCACAGGCTTTGGGAAATAGCATCCTGGAAAGAAGTAGACAGGAAACTGACCAAAGACCTCTGAGTACAGAGGGGAGGGGAGGCCAGAGACCCTGAGATAGATTATTTACTCATTGAGCAGGTGTTACCACTTTCTTTGCTTTGATTTAAAATATTATCATCATCATGTATATGTGGCTGGGCTGAGGTGGTGGAGAGTTGTAGTAGCATCTTGCCCCTGCCTTCAGTGAGCCACAGGAAGCCAAAGGAGAAGTGTAGAGTCAGTTCCCGCCTTCCGTCTTCACAAGGATTCAAACTCAGGTCTTCAAGCGTTTTTACCCCCTGAGCCATCTTGCTGGCTAGTGCCTGTTGACTGAAGTGAAGTACCCCCTTTCCCCTCTGTGAAGCCAGGAGTTCCCTGCCTCAGAGCAGTTCCTGACTGTGAGAGAGTCATAGCACTCTCAGGATGGCTACAGAAACATGCTTTCGTTAGAGGCTGGGATGGGGTAGGTTTGTGTCTATTCTTTTTTTTTTTTTTTTTTTTTTTTGTGTCTTTTTTTTTTGT